CTCATTGCTGCTGTGCCCTGAGAGCACCCCTGCTGTGTGTGCCCCAGGTGGTGCACAATGAGTTGTTTGTGCAGGCTGAGGGGTGCCTGAGTCAGTATGCCCTGCTGCTGTTGATCCTCCTGGTGACCTAGGAACACCTGTGCTCCTGGTTTGCGACCTTGAGCTACAACAGCACAGGGGGCAAGCCCTGATTGCCCAGGAACCTCTGCCACCACCTGGAGGGCTACCTGTGGCAGTGCTACATGTCCCTGCCCCCAACTGCCAAGGAGGACATCGCCACTGGCATCTATGCCTTCCTCAGGGTGTGAGAGGCCCATTCCCATCCAGCTGCAGAGATGTGGGATGCTGAATAAAGTGTGTCCCACCTCTCTATGTGCTGTAGGGGGGTGGAACCCATGGCCAGGGGAGTGCGGGTGGGCCAGGCAGGGAGTGGGGGCAGGCTCTGGGACTGGGAAGGCCTTCCCCTCATTGTGGGACTTACCACATGTCGAGGGGTGGTGAGGCTGGCAGCTTGGTGCATACCTCCCTGTTGGCATCTGCTACTGGCTGCATTGGGTATCCATGTCCCACAGTGTGTAAGTGGACAGTGCCTGGCCAGGGCCTTACCCCCAGGGAGAAGCTGACACTGCTATCGGCTGGTGGTGATGTTGCCAGCTACTCATCATGATGGGGTCTGGGGCTGTACTGAGAGTAAGGCAGCCAATGGCCAGGGCTCTCTGAGCTGCCAGTGGATGCAGCAGCTGGGGAGAAGGACAGGAAGGGTGCTGAAGGCACGAGGACCTCTCCTCTGGTGATGTGTCAGTGGAGTGGTCAGGGCAGGGTTGGGGCTTGGGCAGGCCACCCCTGCTGGAGATAATCTCAGGGGTGCGGCCTGCATTCTGGGACACCAAAATATGGGTCAGCTCCCACACAAAGACCATGGTCTTGCAGGCATGACCAGACCAACGATTGTAGTTGGTCATGGCCATCCACTGTGCCCACAAGGCCTTGACCTTAATTTGGCACTTTCACACCGACTGGGAGTGCACTCACTCCAGGGCCTCATAAATGCGGGCATTCAAGTGCCCATCCCACACAAACTGCCTCCATGTCAGCACTGCCCCAAGTGCCACAAGGTCACCAACCTCCTCCTGGGTCCAGTTGGGGATCTAGGCAGTTGGCATGGGCATGTGCACGTGAGCATGGCTGGGGCTCAATAGGGAGGAACTTGATAACATGATGTCCTGTGCTAGCACTCTAAGCCCCTGCACAGATGCCCCTGTGATGCTGGCCCTAGATAGCTGGTAGCAGCACTCAAAGCAGGGGCATGGCCAGGGATTGGGAAATGTACAGCAGAGGCACTTCACTACAGGATCTGCAAGGACAGGAGGCACTCTCAAGGTCAGCAGCAGCAGGCAGGAAGTGCTGCCCCTGCTGCCAGAGACAGCCAGCCAGCAGCCCTGGGGGGATACCAGGGCTGGGCAAGGGGTGCAGCAAGCTGCAGCCCTTTGCAACTCTTGCTTGTGGCTAAGTATCAGCTCTGGAGAGGGGACAAGCCAGGCAGAGGCAGCCTGTGGCCTGTCTCGGGGGCACATGGGGCCTGCACTGGTCCGACAGACTGCACAGGCTTCAGCAAGCTTCTGTGCAGCATACCCCAAGGTACAAAATGGCTGCAGGCTTTTATAGCCTGCAACTAGGGGCTGCCAGAGAGTAGCCCAGCCACAGAGCAGAAGCCAAGAGCCCTGGGGAATGCTCAGGCTGGCCTCTAGTGGCTGAACCAACCCAACAATAAAGTTAGTACCAGGTTGTGTCTACACAAGCATTACTGAGTATTAACCAATTGCAACTAAGTTTGATACCTGCATTTGCAGGTATCAAATTTAGTCACAACTAGACATTTTTACTGAGCAGGAAGGGTGTGCGTGTGTAGACATGCTCCTGTACTGCATAGAAAATTAGGCTAATGTGCATTAACGCATCTCATGTAGAGGCGTCCTGTGAGTCTTCTCTGCTATGAGATACAAATTCAAATGAATTTGTGACAATGACAAATGCTTTTGCAGTTTAGCTGCTGCTACTTAAGCTAGTTTGCCTTGCTTGTTTCAAGGTTTCTTCTACATCTGAAGGATCAGAGAAATTCTCCAATGCTTTAATGACCAGAAGCAACAGACATCTATTTAGGCCTGTTTCAAATCACTAATACGTAATGCACAAACGAATCTAGGCAGACAGAATGGACAAGAGAAATGGACTAAAGCTAATGTCACAGCAAGTCCAAGACAATGGCAAAGTATGTTCTAAAGAGAAAACAGAGTTGTCATTCTGGTATCTTTCACAAACGCTTTTTATTGTTCACTACTTAAACACTCTTTTTTCGTAAAGATCAATTTTAAAGAAAGAAAACAAATGTTTTCAATCTGTAAATTATATTCTGTAGATTTTTTTCCCCCTCAGTTGGCAGGAATATACATTATTTGTTTTCATTATTTTTAAAACTAGGTTGTCAAAGTAGCACCATTAAGAGCTTCCATATGCCACAAAGTTACTGTTATGGGAGTATGATAATTATATAGTACATCTTCAGAGAGATAACTCTGGCATAACTGAAGATTACTTCTGTTTTGAATTAATCTGAATGACCCCCATTTTTACTGCTGTTGAATTTTTAAGTGATGAAATGCCAAGGCACTGAAAATAAACCGATGAAGCCTAAACAAGCTCAGATCAGTGATGTAGAGTTTCTTTGTCTTCATCTGAGTCCTAAACACTTCAGCCAGGAGCAATATTTTATAGAGAAATGTTTGTCTTAATGAATCCAAGTGCCTTTTAGTTCACTAAGAACATATCAATGTGTAGAAGAGGTAGGAAATCCATTAGCTGATGTTCCTGTGTTTATGTTCACCAAAACTGTGAGCATAAAAAATGAGCAGTGAGACAAAGAATTCTCTGAACTTTGCCATAACTATTTGAGGCAAATAGGACAACTGAGCTAAGTGAAAATGGGGGCTATAGAAAAAAATGTTGGCTTTACTATTTTTTTTCCTTGAGAGAGAACTTTTTAGGGGAAGATCAAGGAGCAGGCATGTTCTTAAACCGTGTTACCAAGTAATAGGATTTGTTATTGTACCTCCTGTACACCACTTAACAAATTTACTACTTAATTTATGTCATTGAGGTACCACTAAGAAAGAGCTGAGTATACTCTGACTTGATACTTCTGCTTATTTCCCTCATAATTTTTTTTAAGCCGTAAAAAAGAAAAACAAACTAACAAACAAAAAAAAAACCCAAAAAGAGCTGAGCACGATAGTTCAAAAAGGGAGAAAGAAAAACAGTGAAAAAATATGTGCACTTAGTCAATAAGCCATAGAAGGGGATTTGTCAAATGGGGATGCTGATCAAACTGATTTTTTTACATGTTCACAAATGCAGAAAGCACATACACACACCCACATTTTGAGAGAGAAAACTAAGCAGAGAGAATGTAACAACTTCACACATCTCAGCTAGACAGAATACTCCACACACCATAATATACACATAGCTAATTACATAATTAGACATAAATAGGCTTTGGAGTGCTTCTAAGTCTCAAAAGGGTAACGGTTTTGTCTTCATTCAGCTGTATGGATGAATCCTTTGTTCTTAGAAAATGTAACAGAGCTCAGAAAGGTGACACAAAATGTACTTGCCAGGTTTAAAGAAGGTACATTTTCTTCTAATACTGTGAATGTTTCCTTTTCTGCCTTCATTAAGGAGTATACATTCATCTAGGTTTCTTCCGCCAAGCATGATTGACCCCATGCCATGTTGGAGACTTCCAGAGGCCTCCAGCTTATACAGCCAAATATATATATATTGGCATTTTTAATAAAGACCTGCAGGCTTGACCTAACTTGTTTACACATAAGAGAGAGAGAGAATGACAGACATTGCTAAACCAAAGAAAGTTAACTGAGAGTTGCTTTAGAGTGATCTCTGAAGTGCTCAACAAATTTTTGATTTTCTTGAGAGTCAGGGTACAAGATAGAATAAAGCAAACGTGACAAATCTTGGCCTACTGAATTATCCCCAAGTGTCAAATTTGTTTCAGCCAGCATTCTGCAGTATCACACAATGATAACAGTATCTCGCTATTTGCTCTCAGACCTTACTCCTGAAGAATAGCAAAGAGAATGGTTTCACTAAAATTTATTAACACTAAAGCTAAAACCTTTTCTCCCCCTTTTTTTTGTTTGTTTCTGCTCAAATGTCAACACAATTCTGTGGAAGAGATAAAGCTAAATGTTCTGGACATGCTTCTTCCTTCTCAGTGAATTAGCAGGGTTGTAAATTAAGTGATGTGTTATTGAGAAGGGTGGGCCTGCCCTCCTCTCACTGAAGTAAGTCTTGGATTAATATTTTCTGGAAGCTTTCTGCTGGAATTTTTTCCCCCAAATGAAAACAGAGCATGTAACAATGAAACATTATTAGTTTGTCCTTAACATTTTAGTAAGAGCACCCTCTGGTGGTTATTAATTAAAAACCCAAAACAATTATGTTATTTTTCTCCAGAAATTGCATAACATATTGGATATGACACTATTTTGATAGTTAAGGTGGTGGGTTCAAATCTCTCCCCTGTTACATATTTCCATTAACCAGCACAGTGAAATATATGAATACATTAACCATTTTTTTTAACCCAAAACAGAATGTATAAAATGTTCTAATTGGTGCATTCAATCACTTTATATAGAATAAATATTAATTTAATTTAAAGGGGTCAAATTAATAAATAGAAACTAAGGACATAAACATTCATCCTTTTAAGATTCATTACAGCATATTTAGAGCCTCTGGGAAATTAACCTGCACTGTAGCATGCTTAAGTGGCCATATCACACGTGTTTTCCTAACCTGCTTGTACTGTGATCACGTTTACCAAGATTGCTTTAACATGTTTAATTATGCCAGGCCACATTTTCCTTATCACATGCACTGTTAACTCCCAAGAATGATTGTTTAACACTTTCTCTCAGGTATATTCCATTTGAAAGTTCCTGAGTCCTCACCTGTTGGTTCAGCTATTGGGAGAATCAGAGCTGTGGATCCTGACTTTGGGGAAAATGCTGAAATTGAATACAACATTGTTCCAGGAGATGGAGGAAACTTGTTTGACATCACCACGGATGAGAACACACAGGAAGGGGTTATCAAATTGAAAAAGGTACTTAGTGCACATCCAAGATATAAGCAAGTAGCTAAAATTTGAAAATAAGTAACACAAACAATTTGGAATCATACATGATCTGTGTTATATCATGGGCAATCGTGGCCTCTTTGAGTCAGCTTCTTGTGTTTATGGAATTTTTTTGTGTGCGTTCAATCACAAAGGGACTTGGGTATTTTGATGCTAAATACCTCGCTCAGTTACACAGTGCCTGTTAAACATCAAATGAATAAAGAGTCTGTGGAACAGGGAATGGAACCCAGATTTCTCCATGCAAGGCTCCTTGTCCAGGTGAAGGCTCTAATTACTGTCTGCTTCTTCTATGACTAAGGAGGCCTAATGACGCTTCAATATATGTATTTTAAATAGTATAGATTCAATAACACAGTGCCCACATCTCAGAAGAGCCTATAGATAGATGGTTAGGATACTCTTCTTGGAGGTGGAAGGTGTGGTTTTTAAATCCCTCAGCCTGAGGAGAGCTTAGATTTCAGGACAACCAAATCCTGGGGGAGTACTCTAACTACTGAGCTATCAGATAAAGCTACCAGTGTATTGACTGGGAGTGGCTATTACCTCTGTATTTTGTGTGGTGTTAGCTGCTGTAGATGGATGTTAGGTGTGCTTAGAGCTTGCCTGTAAGACTGAACCTCTTACAGGATTTAGGCAGAAGCGTGCCTAGTTTGAGGATCCAAATAGGCGTTAGATGAACAGTGAGTTACTTGGTCCTATCAAGATGGAGGCAGTCTATGGTAAGTGTTGAAGGGCTGCTTACAAGATCAGGCACTTGTTTGGAGGACCTTATTCTTGTGCTTAGACTCCTATAGTTAGGGTGACCATAATAATTTTAGGGAAATCCAGGATGGAGGGTGCCAGGGGGAGATAGTGTGCATGCATACACACACACACAAACACACACACACACACACACTCTCTCCCAACCCCTCACCTGCTAGGAATGGGACCAGCCAAGACAGCACAGCACATACATGCAGCCCTGACCTGTGGACCCTAGGAATGGGGCCTGGTGGGGCAGTGAGGCACATATACCCAGCCCCAACCCAGCATCTCCCAGGAGTGGGGTAGGGTGGGACAGTGCGGATGCCTGTGCCTGGGCTCCAACTACCATAAGAAAAGACTGGACATGACTGGGAGCAGCCCCTGAGCAGTGCCCCCTGGGCTCTGCTAGCCTGTGTTGTATGGCTATATGGTGCCTCCCCCTGTTGCCATCAGCAGGCTGGGGCACAGTCCCAGGGCAGAACCTGGAGCCCAGAGCTGCCCCCTCACCCGCCCGCCCCAAACATGGGTCCCCAGTAGCTGGGAGTTGGAGAGGAATCCTCGTACTCCTCTCAGGAAAGGGGTTTGAACCACCTCCATCCCCTTCCTGGGAAGCCCTATCCTTACTTGGGCTCTGACTTGTGGTGGTGGCAGCTGCTCCCTGGTTCCAGTTTCACTGGGCTGTGAGCCTGGAATCACTTGCCCAGTAGAGCCAGGCGTGTATGGATGGGTACCTGTCAATCCAGGACTTTGCTCCAATTTTCTCCAATGACCAGGACACTGAGACAGCCTATAAAATCTGGGACTGTCCCTGCCAATTTAGTCACGGTTATCAACCTATATCTATGGGCTGGACTAGATGATTTTGAGGTCCCTTTAAGCCATACATTCCTATGATCCTATGTCTGTCACCTGATCCTTAACCTCAAATCCATGACCAGGGAGGTATCATGCTAGCAGTAGGTAGGGGAGGACTGCCACCCTCAAAAGGCTATCCTTCCTTGTGATACTGAACCTAGAATTTCCATCTTTGCTTATTTCCCAAATTGTAGAACTTTTTTCCTCAGTCCCCTCCACTCCCACACCCCTCAAGCTTGCATAGCTCATGATTTTTGATGTAAGAATGTTTGGAAAATTAAATGTCTTGCTTTAAGAAAATTTGGAGCACCTTTTTATCTCAGTAGATAACTCAAAAACAGCTACGCTTTGAAATGTCACACTTTGGTTCAGGATGGCCTTCAATGTGCTTTGCCATGTTTGAAATGGTAATGAGCATGAATGATTGAAAAAATCAATGCTGAGCATGCACAACAGTATTTGATCAGATTAGATGCTCCCTGCCCATGAACTTACTCTTAAATCTCATCTATGCCATTTTTTCCCCTCCCCAAAATGTACCTTTGTCACTTTTTTAGCTGCATAACTGCACCTAAATGTGTACAGGCTGCTTTTATGCAAAGGGGAAAAAAGCAGCATCAAGCCAAGTTTGTTTTACCTTACCAGTAAACTACAGGATTTAGATCTTGATTTTCAAAGGTGCTGAATATTTAGTTTCCTTAAATATCTGCTAAAATGTTTCCTTAAATGGCTGCTAAATGCACATTACTTACACTAAACAGAGCTAGTGAAACTACTCATGTGCTTACAGAGAAGGATTTGCATTGATGTGGCTACAATAATGTACAAAACACTGAGCCTAGACAAAGCTTCAGGCTGCTCTGGAGAATGCTTTAAGAAGTCAGTGAACCAAAAAAAAAAAAGTGGGCAAAAAATGATGAATCCTGAGTCTGAGTAGTTTAGTCTCTCTACACTATTTTGCTGTATTTATTTACTTAACCTTTTCATTAATAAGGTTTGCTTTACCTGTTATCACATTTACAATAACAATAAAAAAACACTGGAATCAATCGTTCAATTGATATTACCTAAAGCAAACAACAGAACTCTTCTACTTCATAGCAATGCAGGGAAGAGAGAGGAACTAATCCTCCTTTAATCTTCCCCATCAGAGGAAGCCTGGAGACAGAGATAGGTTCTGAAGGTCAAGGAACTATTCTGTGTTGGATGAAGGAATGCAAAGGGAAGATAAATCCAAAATGCAGCCCTTTCCCCTGAAAGAAATGCCTATCTGCATTCACTCTGATCCTTCAGTTGGCTCATTACATAACTCTCTCATGTGAAAAGTCCTACTGACAAACACTTTACAGACTTCAGTGGTTTAGGTACTTTCAGATTCACAGGCTAAAGTGCTCAGGACTCACTGCTTAAGTGGCTTGCTGGAGGGAAGCCTTAAAAAGAAGTAACTTAAACTTCAGGTGTTCGGTGGACTTGCTGTCACTTTAGATGTCTTATGAGTGCTACAACCTTGGTGTACTCAGCAAGACATGTCCTGTCTTTGGTGTCAGGAACATTTTAACTGTACTACTGTTTTTTGTTACGGCCTATAATATATTCCCATTTGAAATTTTACTCAGCACTGCTCTGGTCAAGGACAGCAATAAGAGTGTTTACTGGGGTACTAGACGTTTATAGAAGTGTATCATAGAAATGAAGTCCTAGATAAACATCTTGCTCTTCCATACTAATTAGGGCTTTTCTTAACAAAGAGCAACAGTTCCCAATCTGTGGTACGTAGACAACCTGTCAGTGGTATGCGTTAACAGATTTATTATAATTACTTTGTATGATAAAAATGTGCTGGTGGTACTTAAGGTTGTATCATTTTTAACTGGTGGTGTGTAATCTGGCAGAGTTTGGGAACTGCTGACATAGAGAACATACTGCACAATATATTTTCAAAGGGCCACCACTAGAGCTTCTACAGATGATTATCAAATGCAGTAAAGACCAATGATCCTGGTTTTCTCCAATTAAAAAAAAAAGATCCCCAATTTTCAGATTAAAAAAAACTAACTCAAAATCCACATTTTTCCATGATCAAAATGGCATATTATATATAGAGAGAGACAGACACAGAGGGAGAAAGTGGTGTTTCACTTTATGGAAACTGAAATCTCCTTTTAAATTGAAAATTGGGAATTTTTTATCAGAAAACAACTAGGATCCCTGGTAATGACATGTAGATATTTTTTCTTTTTTTGTGATCAGAAAATCTTTATTATGTGACTTTCATGCAACCATTCCTCATGCTTAAAAATACCCACAGTTTCAAGTGCTTTACTGGCTTATGGTCCAGACCACTGGTTTTCAAACTTCCTAAAGACACAGAATACTTTATATAATTTCTTCTTGGGCAGAACTTGTATCCCTGTCCTAAAGATTGATGCAGAGCCAGGCAACCCAGCAATGGTGCAGAAATGCCTTCCAGATCACTCTGCCGTTACCCCTAATCTCTTTGCAGAATTCATTATGACCTACTGAAGAACCCCAGGGCTCCATGGTTCACAGTTTGAAAACCACTGATCTAGACTCCAACATAAAGAAGTTCTGTTCATGTACATGTCAGTTACAATGTGTGTTGCTCTCATTTTCACACATAGCCAATGGGTCTACTAATGTGCTTACAGGTAACCACACCCTTAAATATTTTTTGTGGAAAAAAGTGCAAGTCTTTATGAAAGTTAATATTTAAAAAGTGTTTAGAATGTTTATGAGAAATCAGTGGGGACCACCAGTATTTAAAGTTTTTACATTTGGATAGATCCTTAAGTACCTTGCTAAATAATGAGCAAACGTTAGGATACCAATAACTATCTCATTAAAAATCACAAACCATTAAAACGCTGTTTGAATGTGCAAAGGATTGTTCCATGTTTGCAAAACAAGTTTACTTTCCCTCTTTCCTCCTCTGCCTCCAGTATCACAGCATATTAACATCATGACCACAGCACTGTGCTATCTTGAGAAAAAGATGCTTTATTTCCCTGCAGACAAAAACTCTCATTTACAACATAAAGACATTTTCACCCTAAATGCAGAAAACATGATGAAATCTCCATGTGACAATAAAAAATGTTTCCCTGGACTAAAATTGTTTTGATTAAAAACTGACACAAATCTCATATGCCTGGTGGATACTTTTAGGATTCTGAGTGAATTGACAGAAAGAGGCAATTCTATGCTTTCCAGACATTTAATAGATTTTATAAGATAATGTTTTTTGTCTGGAATAGGTGTACAACTTAAATCTCATAACTTAACTCATTGATTTAACTTCAAGGTACGATCTAGTACGTATGCTCAGTTATTACAATGATCAT